AAGTTCGTATGCTTCTTGCATAGGGGTTGCGATGGTGTCATAACTACAAATTCTTATTGGCTGATTGAAAGGATAGTGGGTAGACCTCAAGGCATCTAGCATTGAGGTCTACCCACTCTCCTTTTAATGACAACCAATCACAGCTCGGCGTAGTTCTGACGTCACCGCCACTCCTGCGCAAAAAGCAGACAACGACTTGCGCTCCGCATATATTGTTGACATGTTGGTAGTTGGTGAGGTTCTAAATATTCACATGCTATATAATACACATTTCTATGCCGTTTTATTTGTTTCGTTCGCTTACATTCAGCTCTTGACATATGACGATTGTCATAGGCTCTTTGGTTATAAATAAAATAAAATAAAATATGGGCGGGTGTTGACACTGTGGATGCTGTAGCGCAGTAGATCCTTTACTTAATTTCGCCCAGTGAATATTCTTCCTTTCGTACACCCACATGTTTTTAAATCATGTACACCAACTTATGTATAATAATAACGGATGATGATTATCATACTCCATCTGGTTATAAAATAAAATAAAAGATGGGCGGGTGTTGACGCTCTCGATTTTGTAGCGCAGTTACTCCTTAACTTAATTTTGACCAGAGGATATCCTTTCTTTCACACACTCACATGTTTTTAAGTCACGTACAACAATTTATATTGCAATGCACGTTGCAATATAAAGACGACGGGCGTGATACCGTTGGTTCTTTTGTAAAGGAACCGCGAGCAGGCTCTTTCATCTTCGACGTGTAATAGCACGAATAACAATCCACAGATTTGCGCATACGGAACAGGTTTTCGCCTCTCTCTTTGTCGGTGCGTGCATGAGCACAGTTAGACTCGGGCAGGCAGCGGTTGTTTTCAAGAGCTCTCGGCAAGCGAGACTCATCCAACTTCGCAGCAGCCTTGATAACTTGCTAATCCTGGGGCCATCCTCGAATTCTCTGGACGGGGTCCTTGGCAGGTTCTCAATAGACGGCTTTCTTCGGGCTGTCTGGTTTTGTTTTCTTCTACTCGGCTAGCTACAGACGCGACAAGGTCGAACGCTTGTTCTTTGCTACGCGGTTCTGGACGTGCGAAAGGCGTAGATACGAGCGTGGGATAATTAAAAACCGTTCGCGGTTGTACATCGTGTGTCGTCCCGCTCTCCTGGCGCTTGGGGGTGCCTGCAGCGTCAGAAGGGGAACCGACGATTCATCATGAGGCGCACTGATAACGGGAGTTGGCAAAGCTAAAATGTCGAAACGCTTCGTTTTACGAAAGAAGTGGTAATAAGAACCAGATACACGTATCACAGGTGCGTTGCTTGTACAAGAGCTAGGTAATGCCACTACGGGAAGAGAATAGTCATCATTGCAGAACGTCCGAAAGGTGCTTTCTGAAAATAATCGCGCTTCTAAACCTCTGCAGAGAAATCCGAGAGCATACCATTGCCATCTTCGAAAATGTTATGAAGGCATTTTGCACGTAAGCAATGCGCATGTAAAGCCGCATTGAGCGTTTTGCGTTCCAGTGCACGTTTAGCGTCTAGATATTTCATGGGTGTCGTGAACCTCCGGGAAACTTCGTAAAAAAGCTGTAATTTGCTCTTTATATTCTCTGCAAATATTAGCGGGCAGTTTTTTTTTAATAGATTACACCTGTACAAGGAGGTACTAAGATGCACTAAGATGATCCATCTTCAAACGTAACATGAAAATTAATAAAAAGAAATTATAAGGGTCATTTTGCGGTTTCTATTTTTTATTGTTGAGATCTTCCGTCAATAATTAATATTGCTCATTAAGAGCTCATCGATGCTGTTAAGGCAATGACGACTGCCTTGCTGTCTGTAACCCATGTTTCCGCTTTATGTTGTATGCATCTGTTCCAAGAAAATGGGGAATGAGGTGGGTGTAATCTTATACGCCGATCGAGTGTTCCAAAAGGCGTTGTTGGCGCATTGGAAGGCAAGGGGGAGAAGACCAATCAAAGGGTACACAGAAAACGGCCAGGGAACGCGCGATGACGAGACAGCCAAGCGCTCGCTGCCATTGGTCGAGCGGTGGGGGGGGGGGGGGGGGGGAGAAAAGCACGTGGACACGTTTTGGGGGTAAAGAAACGCACGCTGTACGCAAAGAGCAGACGAACTTGCAGGCCGTATAGCCTTTCTATTACCGATTATTCTTAATTTCCAGCGGAACGCCGACAATTTAGTTTTGAAGGACTCCTATCACGCAGTGGTTCAATGTGCTGCATGAACGAACAAAGTATCCGGCTCGAGAATCGAGGTAATGCTGAGTAGACAGCTGACATATGCAGGCTCCTTCCATATGCGGCTAGCCACTGAGATGTACATTAAGAAATACACGTATTGCAGATTTTGAATCAGCGTTCTCTCATCCAGAATAATCGAATAAGAGAACATAGAAGACTCAACCTTTAAGGCGTAGGTCTAGTTAGTGTTTTGACTTGAGGAAGTACTCGAGGTTCACGCGACGGGTATGGATCTAGTTCCGTGTAATAGTCTCAAACGGCATCAGAGTTCAGACATCACTCCCTTCTTTCTTGTGTGTCCCTGCACGCGCGTTCCTGCATGTATAGTGCGAAAGCACGCACTAACTGTACCTGGACGTCCGTCGTGCCACGCGGTACCACAGGCCGGAGCCAGTGCTCCACCAATGGCTTCTTCCCAGACGAGAGTCAATGCGACGGCTACTACGAGTGCAGAAACGGCACAGTCCACCAGGGACTCTGCCCCGATGGCTTGGTCTTCAACGACGATGCCGGCCACAAGTACCTTCGCTGTGACCTGCCCTTCAGCGTCAACTGCGAGAACCGGCCCTACCTGCGTAAGTGCCTCGGACCCCTGGCCGTCGCTGGTGAACAATTTCCCAAGACCCACTGCCACCCCCGAATTCTCAGCGCGGATTCTTTGGTCTGCTGAACTAACATTCCCTTCACCTTCTGCCCTGTGCAAGAAGGCTTCGTGGCGGGACGCTTATCCTGGCTCTCCGCAACCTTGATGCTGCTTTGTCTGCTTCCGGAGCCCCTCTCTGACGTCGCTTGCTTGATCCCCAGGACAGGTTCCGGAGACGCAGCGAGGGTCATTTATGCCGAAGAAGCAGTTGCCTAGTTGTGCACGGTGAAAGTTGAGCTTATTCTTGTAAAGGGAGTACCATGGTTTTGGGGGGACAGGATGTCTAGGAAATGTATACTCTTGCGTACAAACGTTCCAGAGGTCGGATCACTAGAACTATCTTTGGTGTGCAGTTGTATGGTTGTTCGCGGAGCAAGCAAGCTGGTTTAACTTTAATAATATCTATATGTCCACCGCTTTTTTTAAATAACTGTTGTCGCAGCTGTGGTTCAATCATCAGTCATCTGAAAAATGAAACATGTTTGTGCGTAAAAAAGTAAAGGCCACGCACAGTTCATGAAGAAAGCAAAAACTCACTACACTTCAGAAAATGCGCGTTTCTCTTTATTACTTCGAAACGCAAGCCGAATCGTAAGTCACCCGCTCACCGGTCTTCAGACCATAATAATTATGTTGTTTTTATTTTATTAAAACATCATTGGTGGTTTACAACCATTATTACAGGGCACATAACGCGTCAAAATTATATTACTATACGAAAACGAGCATACTTAGGCTTTGCAAATTAAGCTAACGTGGATATTTTGTCATTCTAACACGTGTACTCATACAATAAATTGTCAACGCGCAGTATCCAAGCGGTTAAGATTATATTGTTTTACAAGGATATCAGGCACGTAGCCAGGCTTTTGTTTCGGGGGGGAGGGGGTGAAAGGGGGGGGGGGGGGCGGGCGGGGTTCGCCCATGAGAAAATGCTGTATGAGGGGGAGGGGGGAGGGGAGGTCCCAGCAAAATGGAGGATTTCGGGGGGGGGGGGGGGGGGGGGGGGGGGGCTCGGGCCTCATGGGCCCCCCCTGGCTACGTGCCTGATATATATATCATTTTAATTTTCATTGTTAAAAAGCATAGAAATAAAATGCGATGGTGTTGATATAGTCAATGACAGCCCAAGAAACTTGGGGTGTCACGATTCCCAACCATCTTATTATCGTTCTTTAGTCAGTGAAATCGCAACATTAACCGATAAAGACGCCAAAAAAACTAATCAAAAAGCAAAAAAAAAAAAAAAAAACGAAAAAAACGTGAATATAATAATTTATACTCTGCGTTTCTTAATATATCAGTGACAATAGTTGCACATATCCTCATAGACTGCAGTCGTTCCCTGATTCCAAGTAGACATTTCGACTCCGTCGTATGCCTCGGAAACATTGTGGCTTCCCGGAAATACGTTTCACTTTGGTAACTTTCCAGACGTAACTTCGCTACTCTAAAAATGAAAATTAAGAACTTGGAAACGTTAACGTCACTCAAACGGTGATGGCCGACACTGATAGGGAGTGTTCGTATTAAAAGCTGACGCCGCGTATAATTTTCAATTACGTAATGAACCTCTTGAGAATCGCTCACAGTTTTAGCCTTTGCAAACCAAAACACTATATACTTTTTGCCGTTTTTAGGGCGGTGTAAGTAAGTTGGCATACAAAAAACCACAACAACAACACAAAAGAAGTCAAGAAATTAGAGAAACAATGACGATAAGGGCGCCAAGGTGTCTTTGCCGATCAGCGGCAGAAGACAGACGACACATAAGCCAAAACCTTAGCGAAACCAGCATCCTCCCGTCTTAATGTATTACTACAGTCGCAACAAAATAAAGCGATTATTAATGGTCTTCCTAGATTATTTGCTCAACACCACTATTACATCACTCAAGAAGATTGACCCACGCGGGGCAACGACCAACAAACTTTGAATGCATGCCATCCTTGAACCGCGCTTAGTGAAAAGTACGCTTTGCAAAGACGCCCACAGGCGTCCGCAACGGTGTTGTAGGCGCTGATGGCGGGCGTACCGCCGAAAGGACGTGGGCGTTAACTGTGCCGCTTTCGCCGCCGATTCTCGTTCGCAGAGCCTGCCCAGGCCGTGGGCAACTGTCCCCGTCGCTGGGGCATGTACGCCGACCCGAGCGACTGCGGCAAGTTCGTCAACTGCGTAGGGGGCAAGGGCCACAAGTTCGACTGCCCGGAAGGACTGGCCTTCAACGACCAGCGTGGCATCTGCGACTGGCCCGACCTTGTCGAGCGCTGTGACGCCGAAGGTACGTCGTCGGGGCTGTTCGCAGAACCTCGCGCTGATATCCTTATATAAATAGAGATATAGAATATAAATGATGTTTCTCAGAGTTTGGCAGCCTTACAAGTTTATAAAAATATTTCCACCGACATTTTTTTTGTTTAGATTACCATTGACGGGAAAGATTTCAAAATTATGTTGTGAGGAGGCGAAGATCAGTGAAAACTTTGGGACTTGTAGCTTCGTATAAGCAACGAAGGCAGGGTTTCACTGGCTTCGTTGATTGATGGAGGGAATGTACGGAAATTAGCTTTAACCTAAGACCCTATAAGACGACTTGAAAATGTGTGTGTGTGTGTGGGGGCGGGGGGGGGGGGGGGGCATAACAAAACAGAAGGCACCATGCTGTTATCGTACATCATATGTATATATATATATATGTGTGTGTGTGTGTGTGTGTGTGTGTGTGTGTGTGTGTGTGTGTGTGTGTGTGTGTGTGTGTGTGTGTGTGTGTGTGTGTGTGTGTGTGTGTGTGTGTGTGTGTGTGCGCGCGCGTGTGGTCGTCGCAACAAATTAAGCTAACATGCAGTGCCGAATTTACGCAGACACCTTCGTGCTATTGGGGAACATTTATTGCTGCTTTGATAAGCTGCGTAATCTCATCATGGTTTCTATGGATCGCTTTTGTTTCTTCTTTGTTTTAACAATGATTATTTTTTATAAGCTTTCAGAGACAGGCATGATACACCATACAACGGTAGGCTACGGAGAGAGAGGAAAGGTCAGGGTACACGATCTTCAAACTTTATAAAGGAATATTGGGTCTAGATCTCTCTGGGGGTGTGCATGTGTCTGCTTTCCCTTGTGGCACTTATATTACTCCAATGCGCTACCAGCGCTACAATCCAATGGAGACAATCAAGCTGGGCCAAAAGCGCCAGGCAAGGGCGAAGAGTCGTGACACACTGAATTTCTAGTCGGTGTATTTGTGCTTGCTTTGTCACTAGCTCTTGACCTCACTTGGACTTAAGAGGAAAAGGGGTGTAGCGTTCCTGAATGGTATACATTCCATGCGCCAAATCACTGATCATACGCCACGGCGCCAACAAGTCAATATGTGTTGTGCAAGACTATACAGCGAGGACGACATGCGTGATCCCATTTCTCAGCTCTGCATTGCCAGCCAGAGTTTCCCACGCCGTCCGTATATTCATCGACCTTCTTGTTGCGCAGCCTACCTGGGATTCCAGTGTCCCGAGGCCACGACGTACGACCTGCAGGACTTCGCCAACCCCCCGTACCCTCACCCGCGGGACTGCGCCAAGCACTTCGTGTGCGTGGCCAGCTACTACGGCAAGAGGCTGCCCCGCTTGCTGTCCTGCGACTACGGCCTGGTCTTCAACCCCACGACAAGGCTCTGCGACGATCCCCTCAACGTGCACGGCTGGTGCGTAGATATTATCGTGTGGATTCACACATCGGTGCTGTTGTATTCGAAGATGGTTCATATTCTTAATTTGGCAAGGCGGGGATTTTCGTTGCTAAACCGAACACAGACTTTGCTCGCAAAGTGACTATCATCGACTTCAGTCAAGTCGGGCGTTGAGTATGGGAAAGTATATTCGTGTGAGGGCAAGGAAAGCATGGATGACGCCGTGAAGACGCTTCATAAATGATCGCTTTAGCAGGTGTATATGCGCACTAATCACTAATCAGTAATCATGCGTGGGTGTCTCTTCTCGGTTTGTCTGAGTAAAGCAGAGTGTCGAACCGGAACCAAACCGAACCGAAAACCAGAACCCAACCGTTATTTTCGCAACAATTTTCGTTGAGGCACCCAAACATGTTTTCTTTGTTGCTGAACTGCCTCCTAAAGCTATCCCCGATAGTAGAAACATTAAAAGGACTAAATGTGACTTATCAATCCGACGTTACATAGAACTACAGAGGGATACCCGAAGAGAAAGATCTTAGTAACCTCAGAGGGACAACCGAATGCTGTCAGCCGCTCAAGCCTCACAGGATTGTCGTTCTCAAGTTCTTCCACAAGCTTCGACGACCTACATATTTTGTTTAAAGTTCACAGTTTTTGGGTGCTAAATAAAAGCAATGTAGGATTACTGTTAACAGGGGGAACAAATATAATTGCCGATTTAAGGCCCCCAAATGGGGGAGGGAGTCCCACAGGAATAAAAAGTATCCTCTAGAGGAGCAACGAAAAAAGAAAGAGAGAGGGGGTAGTTTTAAAAGCCTACTGTGTTGTAAAATTGGGTTGTGTGTATGTTTATAAAGCCCAGAACTTGGTTTGCCTCAACGGGCGACGAGTCTTTCAGCTGTAGATGAAAAATTTAGCCAGTGCAGTACAACCGCTATCCTGGGGCCTTTAACGTGCATCACGCAATAGTGATGCACGCCGGTACGATGCTCATCCAAATCGAAACGGGCAGGGGTGGGGATTGAACCCAGGATCGCTGGGTTCTGCAGCGCCAGCTTTAGAGCATCGAACTGTGTTGTAAAGGTTTCTCTGCCCCACATCTTCGGCACATACCAAAAAGTGTGGACCCGGAAGCTACTTTGTTTGCAAAAACACCCTGGCAGAAAACGTTTCGTGGTACCAGACGCTCACGCCTTTCCTCGTGACGCTGCATCAAGCAGAAAATAATTTGTCATTCAAATACATGGCTTGCACGGACCGCGAACTTCTGCAGCGTGCATTTTGCACCACCAGATTTTTTTATCTCTCACCAAGAACAAATCGCAACGACCACCAGACTAGAGTGCGATGACACCACGTGCAAACCCTGTGAAATAATTCCGTTTTCTGTTGAAATGCGATGCTCGCACCAGTAGCGAAAGTAGGTGTCCAAATTGTAAAGTCGTTTTGTATATACAGTATAGTCTAGCGATAATATACGGCAACCCAATAGAATGTTAAAGCGCATGACTAATATTGCCGCGCGCGCAGCTGGCCAAGTAGACAGCGCGGCCGTGGCCCGGTTATCGTGCTTGCGTCCCACGCGAAGAGCCAGCTAGGGTTCGATTCTTGGGACCGACGCGTCTTTTATTTATTCTTGCAATTTAGTGTTCTGGTACATTCGAGAACCCTGTTGCTTGTTCGAGGTCAGAATGTTCTAGTCGCCGAGCCTTTTAGGTCGATTGTTCCAGAAGCCAACGCGTGTACCATAAGGGGCTCCGCGTGGTAATCCCCAGTCAGTCTCGCCCCAGCGTTCGATCCTGCTGTTACGCCGACTTCGACGCCCGCGACGCTCTGTTGTTATCGTCTGTTTCCCTTTTTTCTTTTGGGCACAAGTTCGCCGCATTAAACGTATCAGTTTCCTCAGCTATTCCTTATTTGTCACCCCGTCATTCGTGACAATATAGCACAAAGTTTTACGTGCAAAGTGCACGTAAAACCGTACATAACTTAACGAGGCATTATTTCGCGAAGTTTCGAGTTGATGCAAGCTAATGCCCTAATGTGATGATGTTGAAATTATAATAATCTTCGTCTGCCATTCGCGCTCTATTTATGTTTAATTAGGATTATCACTCCATCTCATCTCTTTTTGTAGTAAGGCATCATAGGGGATTCTTTTGAAGAATACCATTTATTATCTTTTTTTTTTCCTGTGCATTTCGTGTATTTGCCTTCACATCTATCATGTGACCACGAAGTCTGTTTTGGCATACCCCGGCCGTGTGTGAAACAAAATGTTTCACACTGCCAAACAGCCGACACAAAATCACGTTTCCGCAGATTGACTTAATAGCTGGCCAATTTTTGAGTATCGTACTCCCGTGTCGATTTCAATCGGTTTTGTGAACTTCACACAGCCAAATTTATGGTTGATAATAAAACTATATTTAATTACTAACTGAAGATTTTACACCATAAATAAAGGGCCTATCGCGTTAAGCCGGGGTCACACTGCCCCACTTCACCCCACTCGGAGAGTCCATTCGAGCTGCTTTGCGCTGGTGTTCGAGCTTCGTAGGTTGTTGTTTTGGCAGCGGTTTATTGAACTTCGCTCCGATTTAAGTCACTCTACCGACAGGCAGTGTCGCCAGCAAACTGCGTTTCCCTGTGACATGAACCACGGCAATAGATAAATTGGGCCTACTTACATTTCACGAGAGTGTACGAATTATTTATCATTTAAAGTTCCTCCACGTAGAAGGGGTCCGTCTCCTCCTGTTCTTAAGTTGCAGCAGAAGTCCTGGAGGTAAAGACGAGTATAGTTTTTCCGCAATTACATTCGCTGTCTCTATATGCTTGCTACGTTTTACTACCGAATCTCTCGGAGATCTGTGCGTCAAATATTCACCGATTTGGGCTCATCAGAAGCGCATTAGATAGTGGCTGAGGGTCTAAACGTAAGGATCAGGTGTCAAAGGCTATAAAAATCTCGGCCGCAGGTCGCGACAGCGCTGAGATATACACTGTCAGACGCGCTGTGTGCACAGGGCAAAGGCTTGTCCTACGACTTTCGGGACATTTTAAAAATATTATTGGTTTGTCAGTTGCATCGTCATCCTATATATTGTGAAACGTATTTCGTAAGCTATACTTCACGATATATATGGTGACAAGGTGCCCATTCAATGATTTTGTGCACTGTAATTAATTTCTTAGTTCAAAAGCGTAACAACGATTTAGCTTTTAATACTGCGACGCAAAGCTGTACCAATCACGGCTATTTTGGGCGATCTACCACACTTTTTGACCTTCCGATTCAGGTAAAATGTATGTGACTGAGGTAAACAAATGAATTTTCAGTCGTATAAACACGACATTTGGTATGTTCATAGATTTGATTTTACAGTTTCCTCGAAATAAAATAATGCCATTTCTTATATATATAAAAAAAAAAAAAAAAAAAAACATACAGTTTAACACAGTTACTTTTTTTACGGCGGAAATAGTATCTATAGCCGAAACAACGCGGAAAACACATTATCAATTTAGCGGTTCAAACCGGTTCGAACAGGTTTAAACCGTTATTTTCGCTCCCCGGAACTGAACCGAAAGTCGTGAACACGAACTCGAACCGGTAAAACTTTCGGTTCGACGGTTTGGACTAGGGTACCTTTTTATAAACGATTCTTTGTTCAGAGGAATGACAAATCGGCCATTTTACCAACCAATCGCTACGGGTTTGCAGACCGCCCATGCGCTTTATGGATACTGCTCTGACCAGTTCGTTTATGCCGTTTTACCCCCTTTATTCATTTGTTGCTGTTTTTTTCTTTTATCTTTGCTTCGGTCCACGCTGCTAATACTCGATGTAACAACAAATGTGTCCACCCTAACACAGCTAGTCGCGTCAAGGTATCGTACTATCTGGGAAAAATGAAATGCGAACAGAGGAGCGCGTGGCTCGCGGTACAGACTGCGCCGCCTGGAAGTGAGCCTAGGAGCGAGGGTGCGTGGCCTACTCCGACGTGTTCACGCCCCTCCCTCCGCGCTCCCCAAGCTTCGGCAGTGTGCCCCTTAGTGCGCTGAAAGCTATCACCGCTATCTTTGCTGGCTCATTGCGTGCGGTGCAAAGAAGCTCGCCGCACTCGCCGAGCAGGAAAAGATAGCGGTGACAGCTTTCAGCGCACTAAGAGGCGAACTGCCGAAGCTGGGGGAGCGCCAATCGAGGGGCGTGAACACATAGAAGTAGGCCAAGCACCCTAGCCCCTAGGCTCACTTCCAGGCGGCGCAGCCTGTACCGCGAGCCACGCGTTCCTCTGTTCGCATTTCATTTTTCCCCGATAGTACATCAATAAATTGTATTCATGCGTGGTTTCCACTATTCTGCGAAACTTTTGCTCTCAGCAAACATAATTGCTTTCCTGAAGTTCCTACGTCAACAATTTAAATGATTATAGGAGACAGGAAGACATACTTATCAGTCGTCATCGCTAAAGCACGCTATTATTGGTCTATATATAGTTCACATGTTAGCACTATATTGCTTCATGCTAAAAATAGTATCTTCTTTCTTGTTAATATGATATTAAAATTGGAAGATTTGTGGAGAGCATATTCAGCGTACGTAGATTGTAGGTTAGCAGATAATTCCAACAACTTCACGACGTTTCACACTACCGTGGCTTTTTATTCTTCCAATATATATATATATATATATATATATATATATATATATATATATATATATACTTTGTTGTTTTTTGATGAACGAAACCCGGCATCCCTTTGACGCCTACAAGGTCGGACAATCTCATGACTGGTACAGCTGCAATATGGTTTATAAGGGCAGATTGGCCTGGTCCGATCAAAACGACAATGCCAATTTTCGGTCACCAAGAAAAAAAAGAGCAACTTTGTGGCGTCCCCAGAAATATTCCACTGTACTGCTTGTTGACTAAATATATTTTGTCGTGGCTACGATCAAACAAGAAATAGAGATCGCAAGCAAGGAGTTCATGATGTGTTTGAGAGCATATGTTTATTGCTCGAGACCCTAGTGGTGCGCCGCTATTTTTACTTCAGTTGGTCCGACACAATTATTTACCATAAAAACCTTCTATCTTGTTTCTTTTTTTTTATTATGAATATGAAATGCGCCACTAATGTCCGAATGTAGGTCTTTGACAGTTGATCTTCAAGCCAAAAACATTTGACTGCAAGTGCGGCAATGTTCGAACGCTTATAATGCGGTAGACTTTTTTACATATAATCAGAATGAACACTTCAAAGTATAATACTATTCTTGCTTTCCTTTCCAGTGAGAACTACTACGGAGTACGCGAAGAACCCGTCGACCAGCGCCAGACTCTGCGACGTCAGGGATAGACCCCCGTTGAAATCTGAAGTCCATGGCTCCGTGTACAATATCTTCGTTTTTCAGTAAAATCTCGCCTGTTCCGTCCACCATTCAACGCTTCTCTCTTTCCTCTAGTTAAGTTTGCTCTAGTTACATTACTATGTTTTATGGCGGCAAAGTTTCTAACCATTACCACAGCGTATCCTTTATCAAACGAGACTCCGTTCGTTCAAAGACAATGTTTCCGCTAGTGCGATCTAAGATCCAAACCAGATAATGTCCGTTCTTGTAAAGTTCATTTTTGTCACAAAATAAATAAAGGAAGGGTGTAGACTTCTTAGTTGTGTTTCAGCGACAACTAAAGAAATTCTAAAAATAGGGTAATTGAGAATAAATTAAAAAAAAATGCTTTTGAAAACAAGCTGGTAGAGAAAGCAGACGTCAGGAATTGCAAAAAAAAAACATACTAATTGACTAACTAACTGATGGTTCTAATTAGAAACTTGCTGAGCGTCACTGAAAATCTCTAAATCGGTCAATTTTAGGAAGGCTTAAAGGAAGTGTGAAGCGCGGGGTTGCGCCCAACTCATGTTGCAGGCTCAAGAGGCTGGTGTGGCGAAAACGCAAATGTGCTTATCAACCGCGCTTTCGCGTCTCCAGCCTTGTGCCCGCTGCACTTGTAGAAACTTGAGCACACGTACCCCACTCTTCACACGTACTCTAAGCCTTCCTAAAATTGATTGATTTAGACGTTTTTGATGACACTCTGCAAGTTTCTAATTAGAATCGTGTTTATTTTCACTAATTAGAAAGCAGTAGCTATTTATTTACCTAATTAGTATGTTTTCCTTATCCTTGACGCCCTGCAAGGCTGGCAGTTTTTTTACGAACAGTATTTTTTTTTTCTCTTATTGGTAGGAATTTTTTTCAGCCTTATTTGAATTCGAACAGAGTATTTAAAAAAAAGGAAAAAATGAAAACGCCGTGAAATCTACGCTAGTGCGGTCTGTGCAGGTAAGTTACGCGGTGAGGGGGACATGATATTTAGAGGGACAATCTTCACGATAAGTCCAATTATTTACTAACATTTGTTAATTGACTTCTTAATTATAAAAAAATAAACATAGGGCTCCATTTAGAAACTTGCTGAGCGCCATCGAAAATCGCTAAATAAGCGAGTTTTTAGAATGATTCGCAACGCGTGGGAAGCGTAATGTGCTAAAGTTTACAACTCAAATCAAATCAAATCAAAGCAAATTTTATTTAACATCACCATGCAAGTACAAGGTACTTAACAAATGATGTATGGAGATCAGACAAAAAGCCGCAAGGGTGTGGCTTGACTGGGTCTGAGCCCCTTCTGCATATGCATAGTCCCATTGCAATGTAAAAACTCCTGCAATTACGCAAAACAAGTGGTGTAAAAACGCAATAATCTTATCATTCACGTTTTATTATTAATTATGTCTTCCTCTGTTATGTGAGCATAAGATAATATGGCTTGTATAAAAAAAACAACTGTGTCAGTACTTTCATCTGCGTGTTTATGCCAATAGCCTTGTGGAATCGATAAAAGCACAATTATTTCAGGCCAATTTCATCTAAAATCGTGCAGGAAAAAAAAAAAAAAGAAAAGCATGTCTCAAAAACGTATGAACAAAAAAATATATATATGAAAGTTCTTCAATAGAACGAAACTGAAAGCCGTTTCTGCGTCATATTTTTAGTTCTCGAGTTTTTTACTTATAAAGGACGAAAGGTGGATTTCGGGATTTCGGTCGATTGTCACAGGTAGCGTATTTTGTAGCTTCGCCAGACTCAGATACCTTCTGCCCAACAAAGAAACTTTTTCATGGCTAAACTACGTTAAAAGCGCATCATGTTCATAAAGCTTTGTTGTTTCTATTTATTTTTTTGAAAAAAAGCCAGAACCTGGCCCTTTGACGATAATTTACCTGGTTTGAATTATGACAATTTTTGCTACATTCAATTATACGACTTAAATTATACATCAAGCGAAGGCTTAAACAAATACCTCTTCAACGGCTACAATATGTTTATAGCCAAAAATGTATTCTAAGCGACAAAACGCCTTTGAATACAATAATAAATAAAAAAAAGTACACATTTCAGCATCAATCTTTGTCAAAGCCATTTTTAAATACCGTATTTTCGTTTTATGTTTGTGTGTGGAAAGTTCTTGGAATCATCTAGAATGTCCAATAAATATCAGATGTAGTATATAGTTTGGACTTATAAGTCCGTACATTCGAAAATCCGATATATTTGAAGTGATATTTTAATATGCGAAGCTAGGTCGTAGCTATTTATTTCTGCCAGATTGTTATTTGTTGGCACTTCCTGGTTGGTTGGCTTCCCTTTAAAAATACTTAAGTGTTATGTATAATTTATGAAGGTTTTCATGCACACGTCCAGCTTGTTTACTTAAAAAATAAAAAGAATCGCATGTAAAAACAAACAAAAACGTTCCCCTTAGTTGAGTAATGAAAATCAACAGGCAAAAGTATTTTAGCCCTTTTCTAACTGCCGCTTTTTCACGCACGCTAAGCCCAAGAAGAAGCTGGGCTGTTCGGTTATTTTCCCAATAAAGAAAAAGAAAAAAGAAAAGAAAGCCCCGGGTACACTGCGGGGAAGTGCTTTGTGCTATTCCCGGACCTACCGCAGTTCAACAGTCGGTGACACGTTAAGAGTTCAGGAGAAAATCCTCCACTTCTTTCCACTTTAGCAGAGCGGACGCTGGAGGCTTAGCAAATCGTTCTAACACAAAATTGAGGCATCGTCCTTATTTCGAGTCTTCGGCCACAAGTGGCGTACCGAATGTCATCAACAAGATTAAAAACCTTCTCGTCTTTTTTTTTTTTTTTTTTTTTTTTTTTTTTCGCGTTGCAACAGTGGGTTGAACGTGCCGCATCACTTTTTGGACATATAATTCCCGGCTTCAGGGGCGACTGTCTGAACGATACCGTCAGCACGTCCATGCAGTTGTGTCAAATTTTGCTCGCTTGAGTTTGTGCAAGGAGGCTAGAAATGCCAATGGAGTCATCTCCCCATGCCGTGACGGGTAAATCTCATTCTCAAGATGTCCTCTTTGCATTCCGCCCCATTCTCGTTTGGAACTTCTCGTTTGAACCTTCTCAAAACATCCAAACAGCTTCTTTCGAATTTGGGCCTATCAGCATTTGGTCCCGTTCGCACTACGCCCGAATGGCACGTGGTACATCTTTGGCCCTGGACAGGCTCCAATGGCGCTAGCGTACGCTGCAGTCCACTGAGAGGGGGGGGGGGGGGGGATATTTTGAGTGCACTTTCGCGGTGCGAGAAAAGGACGACATACGAAGCCATGATCTGACACAAAAAAAGCTCGGTGTTTTATAGCCCAGCGCTTGCGACCACTTCCGGACAACCCAACAAGCGGGTCCTGAACTTCACTGCATATTTCAAGAGCAGAGCGCACGAGTCGCAGGAACCATGCATAAGCGGGAGAAAGGGGGAGGGCTGGACTTGCCGAAGCTTCTTCGGGGATATGCGGTCATCAAGCCATGGCACCGTCACCTCGAAGTGATTCCCCCCCCAATATGATTTTTTTTTAAATTTGTGGATGAAACACGAAGCAAGTAACAAGAGGGACCAAATGCGACAGACCCAGCCGAGAAGGACATATTGAGAAGGTCCAAACGAGAACGGGCAAAAGTGATGACCACCCCGCCGGCGACACCAGGCTGGCACTCCCCGCATGCCGTCACACCACGTACTGCTCATTACCTCGACGCCAAGAAAAAAAAAAAAAAAATGGAGCGGAATGCTGTAAGTTTTGTTAAACACATTCGGTCATGCCACTGATGGACGAAAGCTCAAAACAAGGACGAGTTTCTCAATGCTATGTTAAACAAGTAGCTAAGCATCGAGAGTAATGTTGTAACCCGCTTTAACGACGCTTTTCGTTTACGTTAAACGTTCTCGTGAACTTGCGTTACAGAAATTTTATGTAATTGTATGCACTTTTCCACGGTCAGTGCAAGCTTTCTCTTTATATAAAAAAAGAAAAAATATATAGGTATACGTTTAAAAAATCCTGCCTTCTTATAATGCTTAGTGTGTGTGGAAAAGGGAGAGTTGGAAATAATTTAGATTATGAGGGCTGTCGGCACAATGAAAATGTTTTGCTTTCCTCAATGACTTTATTATTTCACATACAACTTTTATAGGAAGGCATTATAAGCATAACATCCCGTCTACGCATTTTGACTTTATTTAATTGTGGGTTAAATCGAAGCCAACGAATACAGTGACAGTTAGTGTTCCAATATTTAGTTAATTCATATAGCACACAAAAAAAGACGACGACCGAGAATTCATTCATTAAAATACTATCTTAACATTTCGTCCCTTCCAAATCATTCATATGTCCAAAATATATTACAAATATTTTTTATTGGATGTTTTAGACCATGCTGAGTGCTCTTCATGCGATAGAAGCAAACATATTTAAAAATGTCCTTTTTGAGAAAATGTATATTGAAAGTTGTTCTAGAGTTTCCATTTGCATTCAAAGGCCCTTTTCGCCAAGATAACTTTATTTAATTAAAACGCTTTCATGCTTCTGTAATAGGTATTGGGTTAAGCTTTCATTTTCATATGTATAATTTATGTAATAAAAATAAATGTTAAAAAGTTATCATCCAAACCAGATAAATTATAGTATTCGGCATTTGCTTTACAAAAATAAATAAAACGAACAAGAAACGTTTTATTCATATTTGGAGCTTTTTATGTAGTTTAAGAAACGATGTAAGATGTTTCTTTGCTGTGCGGAAGGTGTCTGAGTCTGGCGAAGCTATTGTTTGTGACGACCGCCCAAGTCCCCAAATCCGTCTTTGGTCCTTTATGATTAAAATACCCGAAAATAAACATACGACGGGAAAACGGATTTCAGTTTCGTGTGAAGATTTTTCTCAGAATGTACCTATTCTTTCTTCAAAAGTTTTCGACGCATTACTTTTTCCTTTTTTTTTTTTTTTTTCTGAGCAATGTGCAATGAAATTGCCCATTATCGATTTCCCACAAAACAATGCTGCCTTTCAACCTAATT